ACTTAATCTTTAAAAATTACTGATACTTACTACTAATAACTGAATGGGATATTACACATATATTTATCGTCCCATTGTATTTTGAAGCAAAATGGTACACGTTTAAGGAAGTCGAGGAAAAATAAGGGTTAATAGGGGCAAGTACGAAAATGTAAGCAACGTCTCCGGAAAGACTTGTTTTCAAACACGACACCATTATTTGATGTGGATAACATATATTTATCGTCTCATCGTGTTTTGAAGCAAAATGGTACACGTTTAAGAAAGTCGGGGAAAATAAGGGTAAATAGGGGCAAGTACGAAAATGTAAGCAACGTCTCCGAAAGACTTGTTTTCGAACACGACACTATTATTTTATGTGGATAACATATTTATCGCCCCATCGTGTTTTGAAGCAAAATGGTGTCACTTTAAGAAAGTCGAGAAAAATAAGGGTAAATAGGGGCAAGTACGAAAATGTAAGCAACGTCTCCGGAAAGACATGTTTTCTGACACGACACCATTATTTGATGTGGATAACATATATTTATCGCCCTATCGTGTTTTGAAGCAAAATGGTACACTTTTAAGAAAGTCGAGGAAAATAAGGGTAAATAGGGGCAAGTGCGAAAACGTAAGCAACGTCTTCGGAAAGACTTTTTTCGAACACGACACCATTATATTATGTGGATAACATATATTTATCGTCCCATCGTACTTTGAAGCAAAATGGTACACGTTTAAGAAAATTGACGAAAATAAGGGTAAATAGGGGCAAGTACGAAAATGGAAGCAACGTCTCCGGAAACACTTGTTTTCGAACACGACACCATTATTTAATGTGGATAACATATATTTATCGCCCCATCGTGTTTTGAAGCAAAATGGTACACGTTTAAGAGAGTTGAGGAAAATAAGGGTTAATAGGGGCAAGTATGAAAATGTAAGCAACGTCTCCGGAAAGATTTGTTTTCTAACACAGCACTATTATTTGATGTGGATAACATATATTTATCGCCCCACGTATTTTGAATCAAAATGGTATACGTTTAATAAAGTCGAGAAAAAATAAGGGTAAATAGGGGCAAGTACGAAAATGTAAGCCACGTCTTCGGAAAGACTTGTTTTCGAACACGACACCATTATTTGATGTGGATAACATATATTTATCGCCCTATCGTGTTTTGAAGCAAAATGGTACAAGTTTATTAAAGTCGAGGAAAATAAGGGTTAAATAGGGGCAAGTACGAAAATGTAAGCAACGTCTCCGGAAATACTTGTTTTCGAACACGACATCATTATTTCATGTGGATAACATATATTTATCGCCCCATCGTGTTTTGAAGAAAAATGGAATACTTTTAAGAAAGTCAGGGAAAATAAGGGTAAATAGGGGCAAGTACGCAAATGTAAGCAATGTCTCCGGAAAGACTTGTTTTCGAACACGACACCATTATTTTATGTGGATAACATATTGTAATACCCCGTTTTATTTTGGATTATTGGAGAATAATTATTGATTATCGTTATTATTATTATTATTATTAAATGCCTAATATCTTATATTACTATTAATATTATGATTATTAATTGTCTAATTGTTTTTAAAGGATTATTATTATATAAATATAAATGGTGTGTATTATAAATATATATATATATCGTCCGGATTAATTTATAATTCGCAGTCAATCGAATCGCTCGGAAATTCTTGTTATAGCGTTGTATTTTAATTCGGTTCGGTTAAATTGGTTCCGACCCAATTTAAGTTATAATTCTAGCCCAAATGATATTAGTAAGTTTGCCCAAATTGAGTAATGTCCAAGGCCCAAAGTTTTGTTTATTTCAGCCAAATTAAAAGGCCCAAATTGTGCCATCTATTTCTTCTCCTTCTTCGCAATTGAGCCCAACTGACTGAACGAGAATCATTCGCGCACATCGCGACCTGTTCTTCGGCCTTCAAATTCCGCTCCTTCTTCCTTGCAATCGACCGAGCTTCTGTTCTTTCTTCTTCGCGAAGACCAGGCCCCAACGGCTCGAAATTCTGTTGCGATTTTTGCGGCAGAACCGCTCCCCCTCTCCTCCCTTAATCTCTCGCCTACTTTAAAAAGACCCAACCATCTCAGATGCTCTGATTTCACAGCCCCTCTCCCAATTTCAAGCTTCACCGAAATCACTCAATTCTTGAAGAATCGCATAGTCCGTACTCTGTTCTTCCTTCAGCAAAAGTTTTGTCCGCCATAGCCGAGGGGCTCGAGCTGCCGTCGACCGCTTTCGTCGAGCTGTTTGTCCACGAAGGGTCCTGTCCAGTCCCCGTGTTCAAGCTTCGAGTTTCGAGGCCCTGCTTGTTCGTCCGTTCGCTCATTCGATCCGTCCGCTGCCGAGCGACCCCGAAGAAAGGTATATCAATCGGAACCTTCTCGTTCTTGGTATGAGAATTGTTGATTGCTGTTTAATGTCGATTCATATTAGTTGAGAATTTTGTATGAATTAATGACCCTCAACCATATATTGCTATCGCTGGTTGTTTGCTGTAAATTGCCCGTGAGTTTCGGAGCCCCGAGTTGTTGTTTCGGAGTCCCGATTTGTTGTTCGGAGCTTTGCTATTCTTACCCGAGTCATTCTTTTTATTTTTGTTCGTATATCATTTGGAACAATTTGTATTACTGATCGTACTATCATGTTGCTGGATTACTTGCTTGATTGATTCGATAATCGTATATTTGTTCGGTTCATTTCGTTGCCGTATTTGCGTTTCGGATATTAGTCGTAGGAATGGGAACTCTCGAATTCATTAAAGGAATTGTGTTGTGTTGCTGTGTTTATTAGGTTGGTTTTGGAGTCTCGTTTTGCTATTTCAAACTTTACCGTACATTGTGTTGTCCGTTCATTTGTTTTAAAACCACGTATTGTCGTTTCGACTCTCGACCATTTAAACCGGCTTTAAACGATTTTCAAAACTTGTAAATGTGCTGTTTCCGTAGACGTTTTATATTCTCAACCCGGTTGCTGTTGATAGTGTTGTCGTCAAGTTCGAACTTTCTGCTAAAAATTTCGCTGTGAAACCTGAAAATGAAGTTTTGTTGATCTCCTTGTAAGCTTTCATATTGCAGCTTTAGTTCAGTTTTAAAAGTGTCTGTGTTAATATTCATTTGGTACAATTTGCGATTTAAGTCGCACGAGTAGCGAGTGGCGCAGTGGTCGTCAGCCCGCCATTGTATGGGAGAGGTCACGAGTTCGAACCGCAACGCTTGCGTTGGAACCATTTTTTTTTTATTTATTGTAAGCAGCCTCAGGCCCGCGGGCTTCCGACTCGATTTCAGCCCGCGCGCAGCCCGTTTGGAGTCAGCAACTCCAGGCCCGCGAAACCCGGTCCAAGCCCAGCGTACGGCCCGCGAAATTGAAGCCTGGTAACAGGCTTTGTTCCAGCCTAAATTTTGGCTTATATATTCGGCCCATCATGCACATGAGGCCCAACTGTTTGGAAAACTTTTGGGCCAACATATTAGGAGTTCGGCCCAATTGCTGTTTTTAGCCTATTTTGAGTTTTAGGAGCCGTTTTTCGTACCGATTTCAATTTTGAAAATACTTTTAAAAATAATAAAATTTTAGGAAAAATTATTTTAAGTTCCGAGACCCCGATTTACTTCTCCGAGTCATATTTTTCAAAATTAGAGAGTTCAAAGTCCACGAAAAATCAGATTATGACCCTTAAGCCTTAATTTTTATTAAGTATGGGTTTTGTGTTAAATTCGAGCAGTGAGATAGATTATTTATATATTATCTCGCTTAAATGTAGGTGTTTGAGGAGTCGAGCCCTCGACCTACGAACTTGCTTTTGTGTGATACTCTACCCCGATTTCCAGGTGGGTTTTAATTTAAAATTTGCTATGTTAAAATTGAGGTAAGATTTTTATACTTTATGTCTATGAATGTATGTGTGAGTCATAAGACGGTGCCTAGTGGTGGGCGATCTCCAACCTTGTGGTGGGTTGACTCATTTTAGCCTAGTTGATAGGTCGTGACCGTTGTTTTTGCACTTCGGCACGACTGTACTCCCGCTGACGAGTTTGGGCTTACTCCTGGCGGCTTATGATAGGTGTGCACATGAGTATAGTGATGAGTAGGAGAGTGGTGTATTATGTCTTTTGGCCATGTACTTGCATATGACTCTAGTATAGGTTCCTTACCAATATATTATGACTCTAGTATAACTTGAATTATGCTGAGTATTCTCGTTTCCTTTATGCTGATTATGTGTTTAACTTGGAAATGTTCTCGAGTAGCGCCAAAGTTTTATAAAATTGATAAATGGTTTTTGAAATTTTAAAACAAGATTTTTGGATAAATCCGGAATTGTCTTTAAAAATGTTTGGGGCGTTACAGTTTGGTATCAGAGCCAGTTTGCGTTTCTGTAGACTGGTTTATATGTGATTAAATGAAAATGTGAATTGACCTTATGTTTTGACCACTCGTCTTCGTCATGCCGCACTGCTTAAGGTATGTTTTAAATCAGTATTGATGTAGATATTGGAGCAATGTAATGCTAATATTTGGGGTTAAGTTTTATCCACCTTAAAAATGTGAACTCTAGGGCCGAACTCTAGACTTCTTTTATTTTGTGCTAAATCTTTGCGGCTCATTTTTTATATAGAGAAATGGCTCTCCAAACCCGCAATGGTAATCAACATCAACCACCTCCCCTTCCTCCTCCTCCTCATCAGCATGCTCCGGGTAGAGATCCCATTACCCAAGCCGTGATCGATTTCTGTAACATGCATCCTCCGACGTTTACCGGAGTTGAAGGCCCCGAAGCTGTGGCTGAATGGCTTCTGCAACTTGAGAGTATTTTTGATCTGTTGTTTGATCTGTTGTTCACCACTGATGAGGTGAAAATCCGTTGTGCCTCGTTCGTGATGACCGGAGATGCTAGGACTTGGTGGAATGACTATTGGAGACTTCATCCTCGTGCT